GTAGTGGAAATTTAGTGTGAATATCCAATAAATATTGGAATTTTTATATCTTTATTTTAAAACATTGTTTTTAATTAAAGTCAATTAAAGTAAAAGGTCCAAAGAGCAACACCTTGCAGACTCTTTTTCAAATTCATTGAGAGACTACAGTAACTCAGTTCTTTGCTCAAATGGAAGCACAAATTTAACAAAATATAGTTTAATTTTGAAAGAAAGATGGAAAGGCACAAGGTAAACAGGACAGCAGGAAGAAACGGAAGCAGCGAAGGAAACAAAGAAGAAACATGCAAGGTAGAAAGTGACTAATGAAATATGCAGCTTTAGATAATTATGCATTAAATAACATGCATTGAAACCCAGATACAGGAGCAGTAGTGGTTTTTGGCCTTAATTGAGCTTTAAAGATCATGAGAGCCATCATGTGATTACCTGCAGAGTTTTCCGATGGCAAATAAAGAAATGATGGGTTCAGGTGTGGGGCGTTCCTCCTCCTCTGGGTCATAAGCAGGGCTCTCTGCTCGCTCCACAGGCTCATCATTGGTGACCCAAAACTGGCCTTCATCACGGTGGTCCAGTTCATCAAATTCCTCATCCTCCTTATCTGAATAATCGGAGCCAGTATCACTGAAGAAAAAAAGAGCCAAAAAAATGATTTTCATTACCCTTTTTCTAATTGATTAAAAATGCACGTTTAGAAGGGTTTGCTCACTCGTAAGGCTCATCAAAATCCTGCGTCTGTAGTTCCCGCAGTAACTCCTTCAGCTTTTCTTGGTTGTCACTGGTCATATGGATCCTCTGTAAGGGCATGCTGCTGGTCTCTGGCCTATTGCCATTGCCTGGTTTTGGAGGGATCCTGGTATTCACCAAGGACCTGGGGAGAGGCTTTCTATCACTTCTTAATCCCCTTCCTCGTCCTTCGTCTCTCCCCCTGGCACGGCTGCCACCGCCACCGCCGCGTCCTTTTGGAGCTCTGAGGGGAAAGAGGTAGGTTTAAATAAAAGAAAAAACTAAATTAAGTATGAAAGCAGTATAGATTTCTCAGTTGTGCCTTATTACCTGCTGGAACGAGACGGTCCAAAATCAAGGCTGAAATCATCATCATCATCGTCCCAGCGAGCAGCTCCTCCTCCCTTCCGACTTCCACCTCCACCGCCTCCTCCACCTCCTCTTGGCTTGTTAAACCTTCCTCCTCCTCTGTTTGGCTTCCCTCCTCTTCTCCTTGCATTCATCTTTCTGGTCAGAAAACACAAGCAGTCCAGTCACACTCTATTCCTGAGCTTTACTACCAGCAAAATGCTAAAAATAAACTCCCTTAAACTTTAAACAAACCTTCAGTCAGTGCTCCTTCATGGCTGTGAACCATCTGTGAACAGAGACAGAAAAAGAAGAGCAGATCAGATGTGTGTATTCTCAGCTTCAAGAGCAGAAAAGTAGGCTATAATCCTCAAAACGGGAGACGAGAAAGCTGACGGACACAGAGCCGGGCAGAGCGAGACAGCTACTGTAAAGGCACGTCGGAGCAGAGAGTCGCTAATAGCTGAGGGGGGATTTCAATTCAAGTGCAAAGCAATGAGATGGTGGCGGACACACAGCGCTGTTGGCTGCAATTATGCAATCAAACTGCAGAGTAACAATCCCAGCAGGGCCGTTCGGTCCGGAGGCAATGCGGCTGCTGAGGCGTATTATTAGCCAAAGAGCTAAAAGTGAGCATCATGGGGGCATGTTAGAAATACTACAAATTGTAAGAAAGTCAGATATGGGCCACTTAACATTTTGTCACATCCTTTGTTTTTTCTGGGTCTGTTTTGAAAGAGACGTTTCAAACAGGTTTTCCTTCTCCCAGTTGTGAATTCTCCACAGCGAGCTTTTAACTCCACAGTACCATCACCTCACGATGTACAGCAGATTATCCACACTTATATATACATTTAAAAAAAAAAAGATTTAATCATCAAACATTTCATTCCATGATAATTTTTTTTAATATGTTTTTTTAAATGGCTAAAATCCAATCAGTTCTACATTGTTTACAGAAAGACAAAAATATTTTGTGTTGGGCTAGTGGTTAGAGCAGTGCGCTTGTGCTCTGAGAAGGTTGCAAGAACCCAGTTGGATCCCCACAGTCTACGATCTGGGTTCCTGAGCAAGGCCCTTAACTCCCCAAGGGGATGGGTTAATTGCAGAGGTAAATTTCTCCAGTGTAAGATCAATAAAGTTAAATTATTATAATTATTATTATTATTATATATTAAAAAAAATGACATATGATTTGTAATTGTCATTACAGCAGACTGCAGAAATATCAGGAAAAATATAAATTTCAAGGCTATTATATATAGGGGTGGGTATTTTCGCCAAACTCCTGAATCGATTCGATTTTGATTCATACAGGTCTAAATCGATTCATTTCGATTCGATCTGTTTTTACAATTATAAAAGTGGTTCAACTGTGTTTCAAAATACTCATGTATTTAGTTTTTTCCTGTCACATTAAACACAAATTGCAAACTTGTAAATCAGACAGTTTAAACATGAGATGTGAACAAAACTGTCCCAAAAGTGCAAACTTGTTTGTGAAAAGTGAAAAAGTGTAGGCTCACTCGAGCAAGCAGACGTGACACAGCAGACATGCATGAGCTGCATTATCTTCAATGCACAAACCATATTTTCAGTGTTGTCTGTAACAACTACAGGGTGTTTTCTGGTCATCCCCCATTTGTTAATGTCTTCAGTAAACCTGTTGGGTATATTTGCAGCTGTCTGACTTGAAGTAATCTTGAGCGCATCTTTCCTGCTTATTTGAATGTGAACGTCACACGGGTGACTACAAAAGGAATCGATCTCATTCCCTAGACATTGATTTTGCAAAAATGTAAAGGAACCGATTAAATCAATTTTTTTTACACAGCCCTAATTTTTTATATATATATATATATATATATATATATATATATATATATATATATATATATATATATATATATATATATATATATATAAAATATATATATTTATAGTATTAACTTTTTTAGCTGTATTATTGTATGCTTCTTCCTGAAAGTGTGCAGCATTTTGGAGAGGAATGGTGATCCTTAAAAATCTATAATAAGACTAACTAAAACACACAGTTAAAGATGAAAAGTTTTACCCCACTTAGAGCCTTTGTGGATATCAACAATCTTGTTTTCCAATGTTTCCTCACTATTAATTAACAAAAAAAAGTATTAGATGTTTATGTTATACATATATTTTGCTTTTATAAAATAAATCAATCCCTATTGGCTTTAAATCAAGACCATGTTGATGCTTTCTAATAACTTGATGTTTCAATATGCCCCAATTTCAAATAGTAAGGATGTCATTTAAGATTTAGTCTATAAAACATTCCCTTTAGAACTTAAAATTGACCTAAAGCCTGTTTCAAAATTAAAAGAAAGAAAAATAAATAGTGTTATGGAGACGAGCTTCTCTTTTGACTTTCTTTTTGATTTAGCACTTTGTCACCTAGTAGAGAAGCTAATTTTGTTTTGTATTTTCTTAAGAACAATAACAAGCGTTTTTAAAATGGCGATGGGATGTTATTATACAACTATATGTCACCATATTCTATATATATCAAAGATCCTCTTAACAAGTAACAGAAAAATAGTGTAGAAGTTATCAGAAAAAATAAAACCGAAGTAAATCAGAAGTGGCAGTAGATCATTATATCACAGGGCCCTTAGTTCCTCTAAATATGTAGCCATAAAGATACATTAAGTGATACGCAATAGTTTTTTCTTCTACTCAGGAACAAAACGATTTGTTAAAGAGCATGAAATAAAGGTAGCAACTGACCAGGGAACTCCACCATCTTTGTTAGCTAACAAGCTAAAGCTAGCAAGCTCACTTCTAACTTCTACTGTACCTAGTTGTTACAGGTTTCTCCCACAGAATTCTCCCATTTCACAGTTAAGATAACAAATAACCTCCGATATATATCATTAACGATAAAACTGAATATAAACATTTTTATAAATAATAACTTTTGATAAATGAACACCTTAAAAGCTGCTACTTACTCACCAAGCTCACCCAGCTTTTCCATTGGACCAAGTTCCGAGTTCACGCTTTGCTTTTCCGGTTCTTTTGTTGCGTAAGAAGAGTTTTAAAATACAATAAATTATTATTATTTACCACTAGACAAGCATAGCACTTTTATCTATTAATACGAAAAAAAATCCTATAAATTATTAATTTTCCTCGTTGAGGGGGCGGGGTCTTGAATGCAGACAGTGGAAATAGCGTGGTGTACGTCATTACGTCATAGGATATCTCTTTAGTGCCGCCTCGTACATGTTGTGATTGGCTAGTGAAAATGTGCGCAGGTCCGCACAAATATTAAAGGATTATCTCCACAATTTGTTAAAATTACAGCAAATATGCGGACATAAATAATAACAATAAAATATATACTATATTATTCAGTTAAATAGTTTAAATAAATACATTTTAATATCAATCATAAATGTTTAAAAAAAAATAGAGAAAAAGCATAGAGCTCCGGTAAATATAGATAAAATATTACAATTAAAGATAAAACAGAAATGCATATGCATGATGAATTTTTTTAAATCTATATCTTATTTTCATTTTTCAAATAAATATATTATTTTCATTTACTTTGCTGAATTTAATGGTTCACTAGTTCAAGCAATTTTTTAACCAGGGGATTTCTTTTAACAAGTAATTTAGTCTTTTTTTATTTTTTATTTTTTTCATTACGGCAGGATTTGTCCTAGATGAAACTATTAGGTTTTAAAACGTAGTTGTTCAGGTAATCTAAGCCATATTTCCTTGATTCAGTCCAGTGCGGACCCCGCCCCTTTCTCAACCTGGTATGGGGTCGCGTTAGCGCCTCACTGTTACCATGGTAACACCTACAGGCGTTTAGCTGCCTGAACTCGTTGTTTGTGTAAACTTTTTTTTACATTTTGGGGCTAAACTATACTTTTTTTTTTTTTTTTTTGAAGCGCAGCAAAAATTTATCTTTAACGGTTCATTTATTCTCCTTATCAATTTTTCTTTTGTTTATTGCAAGGGTGAAACAGCGTCCTAAAACCATCTGCCAACAAAGGGAAGCTATTACAGGATGACAGGTCAGGTTTAAACATGAACATGTCATAGAAAAAAAAACCCAAAGAAACAAATTTATATATATGATTCTGTCTTCTATCTGATAATCTTACCTTCCAGACACCAAAGAGGGAAATCCTTTGAAAACTGATGGTAAATACATACATAACTACACTGATTCACCTAAGTGAATCACAGAGGCATTAAGATTTGTTTGTCTGCAGGAGATGGGATTGATGTTTCCATTATTCTCTCAAATGGGGACAAATATGGTAAGAAGGGATTTAAACTCTAAACAGTTATATGTGGGGGCCATATGGATTGAAAGTGTGTAGGAAAAAACAGACCTCAGATGGGATTTGGTTGAGCTTGAATCATTTCCTGTATAAGTTTGTCTCATGGAGGTCACTCACTATTAGGGGATCCTTTATTAGTGTCATTAAGCCTATGCAAAAGTCTGCAAATTTCTTGTATTTCTGCTTCAACCACACTTGAATCTCTTTGATCAAAGATAACCAGAGTAAATCCAAAAAAGCATTCAAATGATGATTAAAAAAAATAAAAAATACTACAGGAAACATTCCCCCCCCTAAAAAAAGCTTAAAGTAATCATGAATAGGGATTTTACCTAACATGTTTGTTTAACTCACAGAGGGCCAGTGCAGCAGGTCTGCTTCTGGAGCGCTTGTAAGGGATGGCGTTGGAAAACACACTTCTGCCAGTGGCATCATATACACGGGAGACTGGCAAGAGGACAAAGTATGTTACCCATCTCTTTCCTTTTAATGTCCACTCCTAAAGGCTGCATGTCTTTCCTCTCTCCAGATGCAAGGCAGAGGGACCCTGCAATTTCCCTCTGGGGCTCAGTATGAAGGAGAGTTCAAAGACAACATGTATCACGGCTTGGGAAAATACATCTTCCCAGATGGCTCGGTTTATAAAGGCTGCTTTTGCAATGACAGGTAGTTTCTAGATTTCCCTAAAGCATTTTAGGTGCAAGAAAGTCAAGTTTTGAGGATCTGAACTTGTGTTATACAGGCTGGAGGGAGAGGGGACCTTCACTGATGCACAAGGACTGAGTTGGACCGGAGACTTCCACGGTGAAGTGGCGCTTGCCCTCAAACTGCTGCATAACGTCTATATGGATGGACCTGAGATCATTACACTAAAATCAAACTCATAAAAAAAAAAAATAGTTTTGAGATTACATTTTATTTTGGGTCAAGATATTTCTAGAAATTATGTCATGTTTATCACAAGTTTTTCAGAAAAGGGTGAATATAAATTTTTTGGAAATGTGTGGAAAGCCTAAAAACTTTGGATGTTGCACCTTATTATGAATAAACTTGTGTGGTTAGGGAACCAAAACAAGCTCCTCTCCTGCAGCCCATTTCTAAATCTGGCTCCTCTGGATGTACTTTTAGAACTTGTGCCAAGAGGCAAACAAATACCAAAACAAAACAAAGCAGAACCACCAATTTGGAGCTCTAAGCTGTCAAAAAGCTGAACTGCATGTTTCTGTTTTCTAATAATTTTTCAGACTAATCTGTTCTAATTTCATTGCATAAGTTAATTAACGCAGAACATCTACAGTTAAGCAGGGCAAATGTCTGAAATTAGCATGATAGTTCTGTAGCTTAGAGTCACTTTCTATGCCTTAGCACAGAAAGTGTCTGTCTGTGTAAGCTTCATTAAACACATTGCATTATCACATGTGCTCCAGTTTGGCTCTGTTGGTACGCTAGCTGTGACGCTACTTCAAAATCTTACACCAGGAATAATAGTGAAAAGTGTCATGAGGTTAATACTGTATTCCTTCTTATTCTTCCCGACACAGACTGAGAGAAATTATATGACCTTCAGATTGTGTGCACATGGTTTTATATAGAAACTATCCTAAAAATACATAACAAATAAAAAAACAAGCAAATCAAGCTTTTAGACACTGTTTATTAGGTAACTCTGATATTGTAATTTCTCCCTCTGTTGTATAATGCCTCTGTGGATCTGTAATTGCACATACCCCTATCTAGATTATACAGATATGGAAGAGTAAGTAATAAAAAAAATTATACACACATATATGTATATATATATATAGTGTAACATCCATAGAGTTATACACACATCCTGTAAAATACTGTACCAGATACAAGAAACAGAAATTTTTTAAAAATCAATTGTACAGATAAAAAGGATAAAAAAAATAAAAACAGTTGTATTGCAAACCTCCAGTAGTAAATCTATGGAAGCCCATTTCCGCCACATTAAAATAAAAAAAAAAGCCAAATAGAAAGTCATAATTATGAGTTTCAAAGTCATAATTATGAGATATTCGAAGTTTCAATATTTTATCTCATATTTCATATTTATGACTTTTTAACTCATAATTATGACTTTAAAACTCAAAATTATGATTTTCTATTTGGATTTTTTTTTACATGTGGCGGAAATGGGCTCCCATAAGTCAATGCAAACCCCATCAACATAATCAAATAGGAAATGGCACTCCAATTTGGCACAACATACAAAAACAAAATCTTTTAACTTAGCGGACAAAAACAACTTCACAATCGTGCACACCCTTCAGTGCTGAAGTCCTCAAGGTCGTCTTTTTTAGAATTGGACTTCGAGAGTGATTATTTATACTACTCGATGCAAAGTGAGCTAGATAACAGCGAGGAAGATGTTAAATGTTTTGCTATATATTATCTCAATAAACCTGAGAATATATACGGTATATATAAACTATCTTTAAACTACATATTTTCTTTTAGAAGAACATAGTGGAGTAACAGGAAAAATATCAAACAATGCAATAATGCTAGAAACATTTCAAAGGTATCTTGAAAGATAATAAACTGTTAACATCTTACCAGCAGTTTCAATCTTATCTATGTCTTTATTAATAAAAAAAAAAAAAGCTTGACATTAAAGATGATAGCTTACCAGAGAAGGAACGATTTAAAGCAGATTTCTCTCACATGAAAACATCTCCAATCTTAAAAACGCTTTTTATTCTTCCTCACATTTACGTTGGGACTTTTATATGCACAACGGTCATTGATACCTACGCTAGAATATGGATTTAGGGGGTGGTGACACCAGTTATCTTATGCTAATCATGATGGGAAAATAACATGAAAGCGTTTCTGGTTAGATTATTTCAATTATTTATGAAAATAAACAGCAGTTTAGGTTAATGCCTTTTTATACATTTTTAGGGTTTGTTTCTGCATGCACATTTCACACAGGAAGATTATTGGTGCTGCAGAGTTGCTAAATTTAATCCTAAAAAAAAATATATTGGTTTTTGTGTAAAAGACTCTCAAACAGAAAATGGTTCTCATAAAAACAATTACATTGCTTTTTTATTTTAAACAAGATGTAAAAAAGTCTGCATTGTTTTTAGTCTTTATTTAAAAAGGGTTAAGCTTCAGCCCATGCATTCATAACATTTAAAATTCATATTAAATGTATGCCCCTAGTATGTTTTCAACTGCAGGTAAGATATTGATCACATATTATCTTTTAACTTTAGCGTCTGAAAACTGTTGCAGAAAAGAACGGCGGTCATGCACAATTTTTTTACATAGAGGCGAACAGCCGAGCTTCAAAATGAGCTTTCTCCTGAATACAAAGATGCACATGTAGATGCAGAGTGGACGCAAACTTCAAATGCCAATTACATCAAAAATGACCCCTTGTGCTTGTCTGTGTGCTAAAAAATGATACTGGATGCTTGGGAAACTTGCAACGTGAAGGAGAGAAAATACAAAAAAGGTCAACAATTCTTGTTACAATCAAATCCCAGTATCAGTGAGCAGTTATATTTTGTGCTAAGTCTCTAAGATTTGAGAAATGTAGTTTGTTCAGCAGAAGCTTGGAAATATAAATCCTCTAAAAATTACTGCATTCGATTCAAAAGGAGAAATTTCAATAAATTAAACTTGTTCAGGTGTTTTTATAGATTTAAAGAAGCTGAAGAGACAAATCCTAACAGCAAAAACGTTTTTAAATAATTTTTTAAATAAATTAATTCCAGGCCAGGCATCAGATGAAACAAAAAATAGTCACATTTTTTATTACAGCTTTAACTTTAGCACTTACCTAGCTTAGTTTATTTGGTGTATTTCGCAGGTACCACATACAAAATTAATAATTATTTAGTTTCAGGCTTATCACCTCTCATTGTTTTGTTTTTCTTAAATTTTTTATGCTCCAAAAATAACCCTGAAGCTAACCTTGACATCCTCACTGACACAAAACACATTAACAAGTAATTAAATTTTGTATTTAAAAATCTTTATGAATTCATAAATCTAAAGAAAAAACCAGAAAAGGTCAAAAAATGCAAAAAACAAAAACAAACCCTGAGTGATAAATAAAGGACTTTACAGGGGTGACGGTTTTTTTTTTTTTGGCAAACCGGTTTAGAGCTTTTGGCGACATTTTCGGAAAAATAAAAAAAAAAGTGGCACAAGAATTTATAAAATGACATTAGAATATTCAAGCTGCCCTGTATCATTATATATTATCATACATATTTATAGGACTACGCCCTGTGCAAAGTGAGATTTCTTATAGAGACACTTGCAGATCTTTAGTGCTGATATGTATCTCTGATAGAGGAAATCTGTTTATAAGTTAAACAGTGCGTAAAAAGAGCAGGATCTCCTTTTAAAGGGTTATACTTTAATATTCAAGTTGTATTTTTTGATATTCATTTAACTCCTTATTTTTTTGTTTGCTTTATTTTTATAAACACCATCCATGAACAAACTTATATACTTAAAATTGGTAGTTTTTCTTTGTTTTGTTGCTCCAAGGTCCCTATTTTATTACATGTAATAATTATGTAGTAACTTTCTGTAAGAAAATGCATATTAAAAACATTTCTAGTAACTCCCTACGATCTAAAACCCAATAGTTTGTGCACTTCTTTTTGTAGAATAATATTAAAAGGACAGTGTTAAAACAGTTTTTTAAAGGACAGGGTTAAAAACGCATAACAAAAAACTTCAGGAAGGAATCAGAAGAGCACCGAGCTACGAAAGAAGACAGACTGGCCTTATAGGGGGCAGTGTGACTGACTGCTGTCACGCTACAACAATCACAATTATTTTTCAAATGCTACTTTCATCCTTATGTGCTTACATGGTCACAGTAGTCTTAGGCACATGTTAGTGAAACATTTACGTGTGCGGCATTAAATCGACCCAATCCTAACCTTGTTTTTCCTTTTACTGCATAGCCTGGGGTGAGACTTAAAACTGTTCCCTGTTTCATCAGCAAAAGTTAGATCATTTCTGTAACCAAAACCAGACCCTGAATCCGTCTGCGTCCCCCCATTACGGGTTCTGAAGGAGACCCTCCCACTGAATGGGCTGCGAGAACACCTCTCTTTCCAGCCACATCTCGTAGCTGTAGTGGAAGTCGTCCGGCAGCTCCACGCGCTGGCCCAGCACGCTCTGCAGGCAGTTGTCCACCGGCACAAAGTCTCCATTTCTGTTCTTATCATAACGCCGGCTGTTGAACTTCTCGATGCTTTCCCGAAGGGCGCACTCCTCTGCTTGGAAGTCCCAGGGCCGGGCATCAATGTCTAGGATAAAAAGCAGATGAAAACCATTGAATAAGCATTTATTCACATTTTAAATGTGAAATATGTGCCTGCATGTGCCTACATCCATCCATTTTTTCCTCTTTCCATCAATCTGCCTCTCTTATAGTGACAAATCACTTATTCTTCCATGAAGAACCGTGACCCTGAAAAGTCCCTCATCTGTGTTGCTATGGTAACGCCATTCAGACCGTGTGCCAGAGGCTGCTGCAGGATTATGTTTGAAAGCCCACAGGAATACTATAGCCAAAAACATTGTCAAAAAATGCATTTATTACAGTTTCTGTATAGAATAGATGTGTTGCATGTTTAACTAAACGTCTTTTTTTATTCTTTGGCATTTTTTCTGTTAGTTCTCTGAAGTCAGAAGTCAGTCTAGTCTCATGTTTTGACGGTTTATGTTTTTGTACCGTATATGTTTTGTATAAGTATCTTTGCAATATGCAACAAAATTTTAACTGTCATATTTAATTACTGCTGCCTTTTTTTAGCTCAATGTTATTTCCAAAACAAAGTTGTATTCTTGATGCAAATGCAATGCAGAAATATTCTTTTATAATTCCACAAGGGCAAACACTAGAATCCAGAATATTAAAGTGACTTTCACAAAAAAGAGATTGAAAATTTAGATTGATTATTTAAATAAACGTGTTTTAGTAATCTGATTACACTACAGGTCAAACTAAGTTCCTCAAAAGGAAAAACTAAAGCAGATTTTTTTTTCACCATTTCCGTAGGCCCAGTCGTCATTGAGCCGGTGGCGGACTTTCTGATAGATAGCTGACATGGTCTTCATGTTGCTCTTCCTCCACTGGCGGCCCAGGTACTTAGTCTGAATCTTCAGCAGCTTGAGAACGTAGAGCTGCATCATGGCCTGCTTGACCTTCAGAGCTCGTTTTAAGATGGGGGCTGACTTAAAAACAACCAACATCTGAAAAGGAGGAAGATATTGTAAAAAAAAAAATAGAGTTTAGTACATTCTAAATCTATCTATCTATCTATCTATCTATCTATCTATCTATCTATCTATCTATCTATCTATCTATCTATCTATCTATCTATCTATCCATCTATCCATCTATCCATCTATCCATCCATCTATCCATCCATCCATCCGTCTAAACAGGCAAACAAATGCTGGTGCAACTAAAGTCAGATCCAGGGTTTTCATAAACCCGCACCATGGTCCTGGAGTGTTTCCACTTGGTCAGCTTGTTGAGGATCCTCAGCAGGTTGATGCAGGAGAAAAGGTTCCTCCAGCAGAACTGGTTGTTGTCTCCTGCTTCCTGTAAAAGAACAAAAACGCAGCCGCGTCGCGTCAGAGCGGCGCAGAGATCCTGACCGACCTTCGTCTAGCTCTCGCCTCACAGTGCCGTCACTCACCAGGCTCTCAGCAGTGAGCTCAGGCATCTCATGGACCACACAGTGGGGGAAGTCCAACACGCATATACTGCAACACATTGCATGTATAAAATGGAGGACTTTTGAAATAACATATCTTTAACTAGGATAACAAGCAGTTCCCACCTGTTTTTGGCACTGATATAGGACATGATGTTCTGGTTGAAGAACTTGAGGATCAGCGGGATGCAGTTGGCAAACACCAAATGCTGAGAGACTATTTCGAACTGCAGTTTAAAGAAAATACAGATAGTTGTTAAAGCAGAGCATGAAATTCCACTTGGTGGCAGCAGAGGGAGCCAACATCTTAACTCTAAACAGCAGCCAACTGAAGCAGCATGAACCAATGCTCCCTCATAGCAACAGAAGGTATCTAGGAGGGGTGCCTCCCCTCTTGAGTGGAAAGCAGTGAGGATGCAGGAGTGCGGTACCTGGTAGATATGATTCAGTTTGAAATGCTTGAGGAGGAGCAGCAGCAGCGCGGAGATGGCCTTGACGATTATTTCCTTGTGACGGTTCACGTCAATCCCCAGCTTCATGCTCTGTAGGACTGTGATGCTGCAGGATAGTCACACACCAGTCACACACTGAATATCCATGAGACTAATCTAAAGCCTGAGGAGTTTCTTCATAATCAAGCAGCTATGCTTTCAAATATAAGGAAATATCAGATGCGTTTGTTCGTTTTTAGGTTTTGACTATTTTTAAAGAGTGAAAATTATTCTTCTTACTGCAAACTTCCTGACAGAGACATACATAATAAAGATATTTCTCCTTAGACCAAAGACGCAAACAAGAAAAAACCCCAAAGGTTTTAAGACAGCTACAACTTTTTTTGTCTGGACAATTAGACAGAGAGTGAAGAAAAAACTGAAATATTACATGAAATAAAAGACACCTGATAAAGTCAGTCAAACTTAATGACTCATGTTTTAATAGCTGCAATCACTGATTAACGAGGTTTCTACTCATCCAAACCAGTAGCAAAACTGAATGTTTCCAGGTTTAGTATAGAGGCAGGAAATAAAATTATGGAGAAATGTTTGTATTTATTAGAAAATAATAACAGTAGTTGAATTTTATTGATCTCACATTGGAGAAAATTACCTCTACATTTAACCCATCCTCTTGGGGAGCAGTGGGCTGCCATCGTGCGGCGCCCAGGGAGCAGTGTGGGGTTAAGGGTCTTTGCTCAGAGACCCAGAGTGGCAGTCTGTGGGAGTGGGGCTCATAAATCAGAACCTCAGGATTCCAACCTCTATCCACTAGGCCGTTACTCCCCAATATTTATCCTCTAACTCAGTGTTTCCCATCTTTTTTTCTTCTGTACCCCTTTGTGCATTTTGTCTCACCATGAGTCCCCTTCTCACTCCAAAGTATTGATGATTGTCCAAAAGTGGAACGTACAAAAACTGATTATGAAAGACTATTTTACTTAATCTTTTACTTTGAGCCTTTCATTCTTAGGCATTGTATGCTTTCCATCTCAAAATAAAGAAAACCAATATAGATATGTTGCGTGGAAGTTAGTAAAGTCATGTTATAAACCTGTATCTATAAAACTGGAGTTCCTCTGAGTAAATCACATTTAAACTTGATGAATTTGGAACGAAAATTATAGTCAGACTGATTTAATTAGTTGTATTTGTTTTCATCAAAACACAAAACACCTGAGCTGCTTTGATGAGCTCTGATAGCTCAGTGTGAAAATGTTAATATTTTCATGTAAGCCTTGCAATGCCCTTGCATCCCAAGTACCACCAGTTGGGAATCACTGGTCTAGATCATGGCCTAAATGTTTTACTTTCTTGCCTCTTCTTCCTGTCTTTTATTTAATGTCCTTTCCTTCCTCGTTTCCTTAGATTTTGTATCTTTTTCTAGTTTCCTCATTGTTTCCTCCTTCTTTGTGGTGTTCTTATTCCCTACCTTAAGCTCTTCATTTTTTCCATTATATGTTTAATTCTCGTATTCTTTCTTCCTTCGCTTGTAGTGTTTTTTTATTTATGGTGTTAAAATGAACAAAAATTAGAAAAAAAAAATCGAAAAATAAGCTAGGAGGAAAATGTATAACATCTGCAGATAGAAAAGTCTTCTCTTACGGCATCTCCTCGGGCAGCACGTCAGCCAGGATGTTGATGGAGTCAGTTTTGGCTTTGGAGGTGGGAGCCGCTGCCAGGAGGAGCTTAAGGAGGGCGATCTGACAAAAACAAGATAACAAGCACATTTTCATTGCTTTAATTTTCACTGGTTATAACTTAGATTACAATCTAAACAAGCACACCAGCAAATGAGAAAAACTGCAGTTTCAAAGCAAACAGACGACTCAGAGCTGATATGAAGCGGCTTTCAGAATCACCGTCTATGCAACTAAACATTAGTTCAGTCTTTAAAATATATGTTTAGGTTTTTAAAACTTTATATTTTTGCCTCACTTCCTCTTCCTGTGAGAGAATGCCTATTTCAGGTGTGCGAGAGGGTGCACCAGCGCATTTATCCTCGTGCACACTCTGTTTACAAGTTGCTTTTTGCATCGCTCATACAGACGATGGTGCCACAGATTTTTTTTATTTTATTTTTTTTTCTGTGATTTTCTCATTATGTGCAGCAACAAATACTACAAATGTAGGTTAGAAGCTGTGATTTAAAGATACAGTGTGTAACTTTTAGCGACATCTAGCGGTCAGACTGCAGACTGCAGCAACATGAACATCTCCCCCCCACCGCTTCTCCCCCCCAACAGTACGGCGAGCGTTACGGGACAAAATGTCTTCCACGACATCCGCATCACCTACCTTCTCAAGTGATGAGGTTTGTTTACATAGATAATTTTACAGATAGTATTTTATTAGTCTGTGTAGGGTATAGATTTCATGTAGACTTAAGATAATAAATATACCCGTTATTTTTTCTACATCCTTGTGACGTTTTGGCGATCTCGCAATCGCTAGTTTGTTGGCTCTGCGCTGCCGTAGCGCAAAGATGTCTGCCGAGACCCGCTCCTATGTAATTATAAATAACGAATTCTAAGGCAACACAAATATTAAGGTTAAGAGGCTGAGCTCGTAGATGATGATAAATAACATAGTTATGTATAATATATTACATTTCTGACTGTATATCCCTGTAATTATTACACACTGTAGCTTTAAAGAAGCTCCTTGCATCATCTGAACAATGACTGACAGCTGCTGCATTTAGTCCAGGGTTTCTGAATCCTGATCCTCAGAGCCCACTGTCCTTCATGGTTTAGATGTGCCTCTACTCAAGAACACCTGGTCCGAATTACTGAGTTTCCTGCCCAGTCCTCAAATGCTGCAAAAGCCTGTTAATTACCTTTTCATTCAGGTCAGGTGTGTGGAGGCAGAGAAACGCCTAAAACAAGTAGGACACTGGGCCCTAAGGACCAGGGTTAAGAAACCCTGCTTTAATCAACACATGTTCTCTACTTTCTCAGGGCTATAATGATTTTCTCTGCATGTTTTTCATTTTTTTATGCAAAAATAAAGCGGTCCTGAAATTTTTATTTTTATTTTCTGGGATAGTGTAACCCTGTTTAATTAAATAGTAGTTTAGATTTTATTTTTGATAAATTCAAGTATTGTTTCTTTTAGCATCAAACCTATTTTGTAGCAAATTGAAGGCGGTCAATGTGCAACAATATAAAGTTATAAAACATTTTTTTTGTTATAAAGAAGAAGCATCATCACATCTACATAACCATATTTCAACTCACTTTTAAAACCACACACATCAAAATTGTGCAGATAAGTTTTAAATGTTTTCAGATATCTAGAGCTTTTAGTTATTATTTCATGAATAAAAAACTCCTTATTTTTCATAAATAACACTTTAGTTACATTTAAAATTCAAATAAGAAAATTCTTCGACACTTTCAATCATAAAAAGTAACTACAGGATAACAAGTTACTTTCACTGAGTTACTAACTCAGTTACTTTGTTGGATAACTAACTAGTAACCATAACTAGCTGCTTTATTTAAAAAAACGTTCCCAACGCTGCAGGCCATGTAAGCCTAAAAGCTTACATCGCCACCTATTGGTGGTATTGCAGCATTTCCACAGCCTGAACCAGCTGAGGCTGAAATAGTCCAGCAATATTCATCAGGGCCACTCACCACATACTGCGAGAGATTAGGAAGCATTCCCACGTATAAAATCTCCGCTGGCGTCTCCTCCACCTCCTCCTCACCCTGTCGCCACAATAAGCACTATTTTAACTTCCTAACAGCGCTGAGTTTAACTTAGTTTTCATTTAAGACACAGCAAAGATGAGTGAGAAGAAGCTGCTCCAGCTCACCAGGCTGAGCGGACACTGCAGGAGCTCCTCCTCCCTCTTGATCTGGATCTCAGATATGGAGACATACTTGTGCTGCACGACAGAAGGAAAAACAGGCAGAGGTTCAATCAGCTGCTGCTAACGGCTCCATGAGCTCTTTGGGAGGAATGGATTTTATTGATTAACACAAGGGAGTAACAAAAGAGAGTAACTAATATCAGCAGCGCTGTGAGTCACTCATGTGTGTCAGCTGTTCCATTTTATGTTCATTTTAGGAAAAGAGAACCTGTAGATTAAAACTAAAAGCATTTTTAAAAGGTATAGTGGAGGATGTACTCATCTAAATAAGTGGTCCTCCTGATTGTCAATCATTCTGGTGATATGTTTACGTAAGGGCGTCCTACGCGCTCGTCCCTTTCAGGCATATGTCTGTGGTGAGCTATGGTTTCAGACAGCCATTGAAGCTCACCCCCCTCAACGCGGTTCTTTGAAAAGGGCCGAGGGTCGTAAGAGAAAAAGTGTCTACGAAGAAAGATATATCCCAAAATGCTTTGCGTGGAGAGCTCTCCTCGCAAAGCATTGTGGGATTTGCTGTCACAGCAACCTGCTTTTCGCCATAGGCTGTCGCTACCCGACAGCGGTGACTAATAACAAAGATGGCACAAGCACCGCGCAGTGGAGGAGGAGTTACGTGACCAACGGGGAGCAAAAACCAGTGATCATCCGTCTGAAAGGTAAGTTAACTGAGTTCACAATAAAGTCCACTATATAGTCCCCGCTCTATATGGTGATCAGGGGATTTAGCAGGTACAGGGTTGGGTATGTGCATTTTTTTTAAAAGAAGAGAGGGCAGGTCTTTTAAAAAAAATCGCAAAAATCCTCCAATATACCTTTAAATAATGATTTTATTCACCAAATAAAAAAGATTTTAAAACCAACTTGAGCCTGTTTGGAAAAAAAGAAAGATTCTACTCAATCATGAATTCATCAAGATAGATTTAATATCTGTTGAATCAATCATCCTGATTAACAGAACCTGACAGCCAGCATGAAGTAGGACACTGTAAACCAAAGAAACACAAAGTCACTGATGTCTATTAGCCTAGAAAGGGTAACTAAGCTATTATCCAAAATGATTCCTGTTTTAGGATCTGGAGCAGGACGTTCCACCTACCAATGGTTCAAAAATATGACCTTGACCTAGTCAAAGGGTGCACTTAAAGATGCTGTAACAGGATCCTAAACCGCCAGTTCACATTTGAACACCCCCCCAATTCAAAATAATTCTGCTACTGATCTACCAGACAGATACAAATGGGTCTTTTCATCTTCTGCTAGTTATTAAGTTTAAGGCTCTGGATTTATTTAGCTTCCTCCTGGTCCCCTACACTCCAAAAATGATTGGAAAAAAAAATCTTAAAATAAGTGTATTTACCCTTATTTGAGAAGGTAAATAAGATTATCTGTCAATGGAATTTGTATGTTTACCATTAAAATAACATAGAGACTGAAGTTGGTTTTTTATCTCTTATTCTGAAATGTAAATTTTCTTAATTCCATTGGCAAATTGTCTCACTAGCTCAGTTCAAGAAAGAATGCACTTATTTTAAGAAAAAATGATTCTATTAGACTTCAAATTTTTTGCAGAGTAATGGGTAAAATTACCCAAAAACGTATTTAAATGTGGGGGGAAAAAAAGCCACAACATGAATAATCTGGGGGTGAGATGGTAAGAAACAGAGAAATCAAAGTGTAACGTTTGCTGACTCACCTGTTTGAGGGTCTTAACACTCTCATGGATGGGTCTGGGTAACCCTACCAGGGTCTTTGTGTCACTAAAGGAGAATAAATAGTTAAATGTGACCTAGAATGAAAAAGATCTACCTTCCTTAGAGACACACCTACCTTCCCAAAGTAAAACCAATGAACTTGTTCCTACTGGTCTCCAGGAAGTGCTCAATGTCCTTCTCCCTGTAAACACAAAGACACATCTCCTAAAACGCTTCACCATGAAGCGCCGTTAGAATTGGCACACTTCAGGTTCTTAAAGAGAAACCCAGAGGCTAGGTGTTCTGATAGAGCATGAAAAATGCAGTGCTGTGCTGAGATACAGCCTGCAGAGACACCCAGGCTGCTCTTTGAGATACACAGATGGAGAGCATATTGCTTTTTTCAGATCTTATTTTAACCTCTAAAATGCTGGCAAATAATAAAGGAAGGTAATTTAGTCCTGACACAAGGGAAATTGACATGTTTTCATTCCCAGTTTAATTAAACAAGGACTAATACTACTACTGGTCAGTGATCTAAAACCTCTTTCAGGCTTTTATTTTCCTGAAATCCAATTAAAATTCAAACCACAAAAATAAGGAAAAGAATGATCCACTAACCTAACTTTAGGGGCCCAGGGGAGGCCTTTGGGGAAGTTGACCCTCTCTGTGGGGGGTCTCAGAGGAGGCGGAGGCTGGATGATGACGTCTCGGTCCAGCGGGTCCACCTCCCCCTCAATGCCGCTGTCCGTGTCCTCCGGGTCCTCCTCTTCATCCCGGGCGTCATCGTTTTTAAAGGGGTCCCGCTCATTGTAGGTGTCCAGGCTGTCCTGCTTGACCAGGGGCTGGAGATGTGGGGGGGGAGCAGAGGACAGGGGGTCAGCGCTCATAGATATATTAATGGGAAACGAGGAAAGTCTCTCCCAATTTAACGAAGCTGTAACCTGCTATTCTGAGAATTATTGTCTGCTAATATTCAATCATTTAAGTTAAAGGAATAGTACATCCAAAACATGATTAGCCTTCATTTTCTACTCACCCCCATGCTGAACAACACTCTGGAGTACTTTTTTGATATCTCAAATGCATCTGGAGATCTGGGAGGCTTCTTGCTGTCTGCTGACATTCAAATAATGGAGGTGTATGGTGCCCGAGACAGAAAGGTCCATAAAAGTCCACAAAAAACGTGTCAATATTCCTCCATACTGCTCGTCCAATGTATTCCAAGTGTCCTGAGTGGGTAGCATCCAGAATTTACTCGAAACGAAGTCATTTAGAATGTTTTTAGAGCATAAACAGTAGTGTATAGGATTTCCTGAAAGCGCGCACACGCGCGCTCACGACGCTACGGAAGCCGGCAGACCAAACCAGCGCATTCAGCTCGGCAAAGAACTCATGCTCTTCCTCAACACTGAAGTCCTCAGATATTTTTCTTTCGTTGTTTCTTTCTTTGCACCGGTAAACAGCACATTTCTTCTTCTATGCTTGCATTATTGGAAGATCAGACGCTGAATGCGCACTTTCATCTGGTTTGATCTGCCGGCTTCCGTAGCGTCGTGAGCGCGCGTGTGCGCGCTTTCAGGAAATCCTATACACTACTGTTTATGCTCTAAAAACATTCTAAATGACTTCGTTTCGAGTAAATTCTGGATGCTACCCACTCAGGACACTTGGAATACATTGGACGAGCAGTATGGAGGAATATTGACACGTTTTTTGTGGACTTTTATGGACCTTTCTGTCTCGGTCACCATAGATCTCCATTATTTGAATGTCAGCAGACAGCAAGAAGCCTCCCAGATCTCCAGATGCATTTGAGATATCAAAAAATTACTCCAGAGTGTTGTTCAGCATAGGGGTGAGTAGAAAATGAAGGCTAATCATGTTTTGGGTGTACTATTCCTTTAAGTTCTACTAATATTTCATTTTTTCACACAGCTGATTTAATTTAAAAAAAGGGCCAATTTAGATTAAGGAATGGAGCATGTAATTACCAAGTGACAACAAGGACATTTTGAATCATTTCTTTCTTTAACAGGTGCAAAGAAAACAACAGCAGGATGAAGGAGCGACTCGCAAACTCCCACGAACATCTGAGAGGAGGACAGACTCAATAACAACAGCAACTGTTTGGAGGAGTTTTTTATTTTTTCTGATTTGCATAAAATGTCAAAATAATCAAATATCCCAGTCGCTGATTAGAGGGAGTAGTTGGTGACTGTTGAGACAAGAGTTAATCTGATATTTATTCCTTTAATTAAACTTGAAACAGTGCGTTGGAAGAGCAGGACAGAATTGCTAGCAGTTCTAGAATCCAATCATTTTAATAAAACTGCCCACATCCTGATGCTGCCATTGCCGTGCTTTACCAAAATCTGCACCAGTCTGTAGACTGGGAGCTCTCAGAAACCAGATGTAGTTAAAACAATGAAAAGGGGTCCAGGTCTCTACATAAACAAACAGCCTTGAAACAGTTCTTATTTTTTATTTTTTTTACTGCCCTGTCAAAATCCTCGAGGATAGCACTCCCTCATCATGATGCTGCCTTCATCATGCTTGACTGATTTTGACTCACATCTCTTAGTATTTATGGCCAGAAAATTTTAAAACAAAAATGTATTTTATTACAGAATCCAACCCAGTTTTTCTGAAGCTCAGAGCAGAAAAACAATCCTCCATCATGATACTGACACTGCCGTGCTTGAATGTAATCTGCAACAATAAACAGTATATTGGCTTCTTAAAGGAGCGTCCTGTTTTTCAGGGAGATGCTAGAATTTAATAATGCCTCTTCTATTGGATTTAACATAAGCTAAGAATTCCCTCATTATTATACATCCTCCACCGTGCTTGGCTGACATCAGCATTAATATAGAGCTTGTTTTCCTGTTTCGCATTGGATTTATTCTCCTCATACAGGTGTAAATGAAATTCAGACAGAGCTAAACTAAGAACTGCTAGCGCTAAGCTATCAAGCAGACCTAACTGTACTTTTAGTGTCTCCATACAGCTGTAATGTTTTGGAAAGTAATGGCATCCAGTTCTCTTTCCTTGTAAAATGCCCCCACATCAAGATGCTGCCACCACTGTGCTATAATATATGTAAGAATGTTACTTTTCCTCAAACCTTTATGATTTTAAAGTAATGGAGGCTTACAAAAGTAAGCTGAAGTTACTCAAATGAAAGGTTTAATTGATTATTCTGGTAGAGTTACTGGTTTTGATAATTTTTTTTCTCAAATCAATCATAATTCTTGATTCTTATATTTTAAAAATACCATCTTTGGATACAGAAACCTGGTAAAGAAGCTCAATTCGTTCAAAAGAAAAAAGAAAAAGAAGACATTTCCACAGCAACCAAATGTTGTTTTTATTTAAACTTACCACACACGTGCACGTCAGAAGAAACAGGCACAAAACTCAAGCAACACTGAGTTCCTGTCTACAAACAATCCCATTCCAAGTGTGAACCACGCAAACTTACAGTGTCTGAATGGCAACATGGCAAGCATCAGGCATGAAGTAAGCTCTCTGGCCGCTAGCTGAACTACTGCAGCTGATGTATGGTGAGCCAGGGGGGCTGCTAAGTGACTAGTACATGGACTGTGCGTGGTGGGAAGGAGGGAAGGGGATGAGAAGAGAGGAGCAGGTGGAGCCATTCTGTATGGAGAAGCCATTTTCTGCTAAGTGAAAAAGTAAAGCTAAAGCTTTTTCTACCGGGTTAGGAGGGCCACCGCTTTCAATTACATCCGGTTGAGAGCTGAGTCTACTTCTGGAAAAGTGAAAACTAAAAATGTAGCCAAATTCCCTTCTCAATGAATGCATTTTAAAGAAAGTGGCCCCTTGAATAAACTCTACAGAGCATGGTGGTTGGTTTTAGAGCTAAAATCTAGTTGAAATGAGATGAAAACTAAAGGACAGATGCTCCTAAAGTGTAGGTGAACCGTCTGTATGGGGGAGTGGAAAGTGACCACTCAGGAGCCAATGGTTACAGCCAACAGGTCAGCCCTATCCCGCCAACCCTACTACCCACAGCGGAGAGGGAGAAGAAATAAGCCAAAAAAAAAGAAGAGGAAATGACAAGAGAGGGTAGGATACTAACAAAAAGAAGGAAGAATAGAGCTGTGGGAGTGCAGGGAAGTGGGTGAGCAGTGCAAAAAGGCTAGCTCGGTGCAGAGAGGAAATGCAGGAGGAAAGAAAGGGAATTTGTGGGTAAAGACCTGCTTCTTGGGAAAGGGACTGTCTCCTTCCAAGCTATCAACAAAGGCACTCTGTGGGGACAGAAGGAAGAGGGGCAATGAGAAACCAGAGGGTAGTTAGAGCTCAAATGAAAAAAATAAAATGAAAAAAAAACATAGCAGAAGCTGGGAATCCCTCAGCGGCGCAGGCACCAAGATCATCTGTGGTCACTGACTCACAGCAGGGAACTGATGATGTTGGCATCTAAGCAGTTATAGAAAAGCCGACACTGCAAAGAGACCTTCCATGCTAATGAAGGGTTAACTATTAGAAGAACGGCTGAGCTTTTTGTCGGGAGGGTGTTCAGTGGCTGTACCCTGCGGCTGCGCCGGCCTCTCTTCTGCTGCTGCTGCTGCTCGATGAGCTCCATCGCCGATGCCGGGGGAGACGCTGCCCTCATGGCTCTCACCACCTTGATGCTGTCCTCCGGGAGCGGTGGTAAGCTGAGGCGCTCCCGGGCTCGCACCTTCATCTGCTGGAGCTCCTCGAACCCGCCCAATGTAAACTACAGAGAGGGAGCACAGAACACAGTGAATCTGGGGTAAATTCACTGCATCCCCACAGCATGATGCTGCCACCACCGTGTTGCAAGACATAAAATGTGATGCGGTTCGCTCTACCCACCAGAACTGTTTTCCACAGCAGCAGCAGCACTTTCTTCATGGGGAAGTGAGGCGCGTTCATGCTGCAGAACTTGGTCACCATGGTGAAGAGGAGCAGAGCGAAGGGCTCTCCGTTGTAAAGAGGCGAACCTGAGGGTGGCAGCAACATCTGCGAGTATTAAGCGCTGTGCTATAGAGGTGTTACACAAAAACAAAAGCACCCCATGTGAACACACACCCAGCTCAGTCTTGAAGGCCTCTCTGGCTGCCCTCCACTCTGGCCGGTCATCTTCTGTTTGGACGCGAATCATCTCCACAATCAGATACATGATGCTCAGAAGCACTCTGAGGGTTTTAACACAGCATGTATTATTCTATCACCCTCGTTATGTCAAACAAATAAAACTTTAATATGAAGAATTACCCCTTTTATAATTAATATTTAAAAAACACTTAACACTTTTAAGACCTTACAGAAACTATATGATGGAAAGACGGATGGATCTGAATTCACCAAACTGCTGATAATAGGGAAATTACAGGAGATGAGAGCTTACTGGAGTTTATCCCCGTTTATCCCTAGTTTTGTACGAAAAATAAACATTAAAGTACCTCAACGGGTATGTATCTATTTAGTCATGTACAAAAAAAAAACTATGTAATTACTTACTTTTTGGTGGGGTTTTTTAAGCGTATGGCGGTGTTTTTTGGGGTGTTTTTTTAAGCATATGGCGATGGTGGGTTTTTTCAGCGTATGGCAATGGTGTTTTTTAAGCATATGGCGATGGTGTATTTTTAAGCATATGGCGATGGTATTTTTTTGGTGTCTTTTTTTTAAGCGCATGGCTATGGTGTTTTTTTTGGTGTTTTTTTTAAACGCATGGCTATTTTTTTTGGGGGGGGGTTTCTGAAGCGTATGGCTATGGTGTTTTTTTTAAGCATATGGCTATGTTTTTTTTTTTGTGTTTTTTGAAGCGTATGGCGATGGTGTTTTTTGGGGGGGTTTTCTGAAGCGTATGGCTATGGTGTTTTTTTGGTGTTTTTTATGTGTATGGCTATGGTGTTTTTTTAAGTGTTTGGCTATGGGTTTTTTTTTGGTGTTTTTTGAAGCCTATGGCTATGGTGTTTTTTTTAAGCATATGGCTATGTTTTTTTTTTTGTGTTTTTTGAAGCGTATGGCGATGGTGTTTTTTGGGGGGGTTTTCTGAAACGTATGGCTATGGTGTTATTTTGGTGTTTTTATGCGTATGGCTATGGTGTTTTTTTAAGTGTATGGCTATGGTTTTTTTTGTGTTTTTAGAAGCTAATGGCTATGGTGTTTTTTTTAAGCGTATGGCGATGGTGTTTTTTTGGTGTTTTTTTAAGCGTATGGCTATGGTGTTTTTTTAAGTGTATGGCTATGGTTTTTTTGGTGTTTTTTGAAGCGTATATCGATGGTGTTTTTTTTTAAATGTATTGTGATCTCTCTTTAAATAGTTTTTTTTGTACAGGTCGAAAGGGATAAATGCCCGTTGAGCTAGTTTACAGTCTATTTTTTGTACAAATGGATAAATGCAAATCTGATGTCTTGCGCTCATCTGACAGAAGAGTGGCTGTAATTGTTATTTAACTGCATTGCATAACTGCTGCTGTAAGAAGGATCAAAACATATTGAGTCTTAGAAAGATCTAATCAAAGGCCCCGTCCACACGAAGTCAAAACGAACACGAAACGCTGATATTTTCCAAAACGTTTGCCGTAAAGCAACGGCGCCATTGTTGTTGTGATACTGGTCGCGCATGCGTGTTTAGAGGCGACGCTATGACGCATGCGTGTAAAAAAAAATATGCGGTTAGAGCGTAAAGATGGAAACGCGAAAACGGCGTTTCGAAATCTTCCCACTCTGAAGGCTGAATAAAAAAAAGATCGTTTACAGACCCCCGAAACGCCGGCTTCGTGTGGATGAGAGGCTGGTTTGGTGAAAAATTTGTGCGTTTAGGCCAGGGTTCGTCTTCGTGTGGACGGGGCCAAAGCCGAGTACTAAATCCAACTGGGAATCAGTGGGAAGACCAAAAAAGGTTCACCGTTTTGCAAGGCGAAATATTTAAGTCTCATTACATTTAAAGCTGACTGACTACAATGAATTTCCTTCTGTTTAGTCTATCAATTCAATTTATTTAGGTATTTTGAAAGCCACTTTAAAATAACATATATTAGGATTATTTTTCTCATCACTAAGAGCTATACTCCCTCAGCTCAACCCAATGCATGCTAACCTTTCCAGATTTATATCTAAAAAACATTCCTTTATCCTCTACTAATCATTTTGCAGTTTTGTTCTTTTTTTGTATTACTCTGTGTTAGAGTTATTATTACTTCCAAATTTTAACATCTGTCAACTCAAGGATCAATAAAACACACTAAATTTAATAGTTATTTAAAGAATCAGAGCCCTGCACAGTGCATTATTCGGTAGCATTGTTTTTTCAGTTCTTCAGAACTACCATAATTGGGCGTCATTTTTTTCATCTAGCTTGTGATTTTTTGTGGACATTGATCCAAAAAACACAGAAGGAGCTCTGTGTCTGTCATCTGAGCACAGCGTGTGGTTATGCTGTTCAGCCTATTTGGCTGAAGCATTATATCCACCAAAAAGAGCCAGAAGCTTAATAATGAACAGATATAAGTGATTTCAGGAGTATTTTCATCTCAAGCCAAAGAAGTAGGACTCTTTGTTTGTGATGGATGCCTTACCTGAGCTCTGTGCTATCTGCAAGAGAGATGGCAGGCTTCCTCACTGCACTGCTGCACGCCTGGCTGTTACTGCAAGTACAAATATTTGGCAACTTTAAAAACCCATGCAAAGAAATGCATTATAAATGGTACAAGTAATTATGTTATAAAACAGAGGGCGAAAAAGCTGACATCACTACATCCCTAATAAAGCTAACACCAGCCATGGCAAAGCTGACAAGCTCTCCATCCTCAATATATTGTGTATAATTTGAAAGATATTGCATGTTTTGTACTTTTCTCTCTCCCTCTTATTATCTACTGAAGGCATTTGTGCCTTGCTTACTCCATCTCCATGCTGAGCAGCTCCAGCAGGGCAGTGAAGATCCCCATGTCATAAAGCAGGAAGATGTTGTGCCTGGACCAGTGGAGCACATCCACCTCCGTGTCACACTCATCAAACACTCCTGGTGAAAGGTGTGGGAAAATGAGAAACAGAATGAGGATTTTCAATAATCCAAGTCCACATATTGCGCTCATACAACTAAAATTTAAATGGTGAGGAAACTTAATTAGAGGCCTGAAGGTCAAATAATAAATGATCCAAGTTATAAAATAGAACTAAACTATTATATGTAAGGATATGTGCTGTGTTAGTTAGTGCTGGGTTTATAGAAACGAACCCTGAGCCAGGTAGAGGATGGCCCTGGCCACCTTCAGCCTCTTGTCCCTGTCTGTCACCTCCAGAGCGTCCAGCAGTCTCATTACATAAGCTTTCTGTTCATCCACAGTCAGCTCGGTCCACCGTCTGCCTCGAGCTGCAACAAAACGCACCGTTATTTTATGATGCTTTGTTTTAGATCTTTAAACAGATTTCAGTATCAGAATATAAAAAGGAGATTTTATATTATGCCTGGGGGGGTTAAACTAATCAGGCCTTGTGATGCATTAGCTTTGATTAACCACAGTTTCACTTGCCTCATCAATGCTTGATAACTAAAAGCAAGAAAGCACTTGCACCGAGCCCATCTGCACCTGCTCATGTTGATCTATTTATAGAAATGCCCAAAGCACGGTCACTTGGTGTTTCATCCACATGCCTTTCAAAATGTGGCTTTAAAATTGCTAAAACATGCTTCAAAATGATTTTTTTTCACAAATATATTTTGTTTTATAGCTGTGAAAAAATGCAAACCAGGTTTTCCCGCTGCACCTGTGACTGATGATGGGGACATGCGTCATAATTATTTTGCCAATTTTTCGACAGAAGCTTCTGATTCTAATTGATTTTTACATTTTTGTACTGTTTTTGATTTCTAATTCTTTTTTTCATAAAATGTCCCTATTTGATGACAAAAATTATACTATTCATCTTATTTTCTATTCAGTTTGGTGACATTATGGTGTGTTCAATGTTGTATTTCAATGAAACAATGGTTTAGTCTTATGTGCAAAGGCTTTGTCTTATGCAGTCATGTTAATCAGCATAATGTAAATCTGGCCAGATTCTCTTTTATGAATGGTAAAATGCATTTGCATTTAATAAAAAAAATCCAAAATATTCTTTATTATATTTCTGGTAAACAAATACAAACAGTTGTATTTCAAATTCATAGTTTTGGAGCTGTACTTGCTTTAAGTCACATATGTAATGTCAGGCGGAATTTTCTCCTACACTAAAAAAGCAACAATTTTTGGCATTAATTTAATTATTTTTTGTTACTTTAACATAAATGTTTTGTTTCTCACCCTGCTAACATGAAGCAATTGTGTTAAAAGTAACTAAAAATGATTAAGTAAATGCCAAAAACAGTTTCATTATTTTTTTTAGAGTAAGACACTCTGGGCTTAAAGGAATAGTACACCCAAAACATGATTAGCCTTCATTTTCTACTCACCCCCATGCTGAACAACACCCTGGAGTACTTTTTTGATATCTCAAATGCATCTGGAGCTCTGGGAGGCTTCTTGCTGTCTGCTGACGTTCAAATAATGGAGGTCTATGGTGCCCGAGACAGAAAGGTCCATAAAAGTCCACAAAAAACGTGTCAATATTCCTCCATACTGCTCGTCCAATGTATTCCAAGTGTCCTGAGTGGGTAGCATCCAGAATTTACTCGAAACGAAGTCATTTAGAATGTTTTTAGAGCATAAACAGTAGTGTATAGGATTTCCTGAAAGCGCGTTCATGCGTGTTCACGAGCCTACGGAAGCCGGCAGACCATTTGAGATATCAAAAAAGTACTCCAGGGTGTTGTTCAGTATGGGGGTGAGTAGAAAATGAAGGCTAATCATGTTTTGGGTGTACTATTCCTTTAAGGGGTTAAAGTGGCCTAGTCAAAGTAAACTTAAATTCAGCCAAGATGCTATGGCTAGCTGTTTGTCTAAAAACAGAAAAAGAAATAAAAAAATAAAGCCCCGGCCTGTGCTGCGGTGGTGCAGTGCTTAGTGCACACGACCCATGACCCTTAGTCATTGTCCGACCAAGGTTCGAATCCCACATGTTTCTCCCCCTCTCGAATGGCCCTTTTCCTGTTAGCCCACTTCACAAAAAATGAGCCACTAGTGCTGTAAAAACCTAAAAAACAAAAACAAAAAACTGGAAAACTCTCTTTTTTTTATTTCCGCAGATTATTTCTGCATGGTATTAATATTTCTTTGATTATATGACATACTTAAGTGTTCCAGGACTTTGATATTTACATGTAATTAGTAGATAAAGCTTATTTCAGCAGAACTATATTGTTTTTGCATGCCTCAAAATAAGAAAAAAAGTATTAGACAACAGCCTGGGGTGAAGTCTAGATTAGCCAACTGTTGAAAACATCTTGGTGTCGTTAAAAAAAAAAGACCCTGAACTCTAGAGCTGCCAAAACTTCTGTAACATATCTCACATTTTAGGATAGTGACATTCAACAGAAGGAAAACAAAAAGCTTTGCTTGTTTGTCACTGTGAGCTATTATTAGACTGTTTATATGATCAACGGAAATAGACATTGAGGATCATCAGCATTGGTGAGATAGCCAAGAAATGATGCTGTGGCTTACTCTGTGTAGATGCAAAAAAAAGGCTTTTAAATAGCAGCTCCATTTGCAGAAAGAAAAAAAAAAACTCAGAAAGCCTCATTCTGTCTTCTAAATTACTGTAATTCATGTTTGAGACTTCTTTGGAATTCAGAGTTAGTAATATAAAAGATTGATGAGCAGCCTGTCAGTTTCCCTAACAGGCAAAACACAAGTCAGGCAGGAAAAAAATCCCCTCTGTCGACTGGTTGCAAAGACAATACAGTCACCCTAATGAAAAGAACATGATGAAAACAGGCTGCTGGGAGCTGTATCTCTGTGAAAAAGCAGCCATCATCAAACACCGCTATTTATTATCCATCTATTTGGAGACGAGGTGAGAGAGAAGAGTTTCTCCTCAAAAATCAAAATAGATTTTAGCACAGTAATAGAGGGCTGTAGTTTTTATGAAAAAAACAACAACAAAGCAATATCATGCTATGATAAAATGTCGACTGGGAAAAATGTTTTTTTTCTTGACATAAGATTTGGGTGGTCCAGTCTTCAGCTAGCTCAAACTATGTGTTAGGAAAACCACCGCAGCACGCTTATACTGTGCTGAGGTCGCCACTTCACATGAGAAATTATTTTATTATGATGGACTTCCAACCACAAAGGTTGTTTCTAGTTAATTAGAGCTAAATGCCCTAAATCCCTCTCAACCTCTAATAAACCTTTTCAGTCTATGCAGCCATGAGTGCTGCAGAAATCTAAACTGAAGTTCTAATAGAACCCATTATTTCTGAGGGAAGACTTCCTAAATACCGCTCTATGTCTGAACACTTTTATACGACGGAGTATTATGGCCAGGCTAGAGATTTTTTTTTTCAATTTGAGAATAAAGTCGTAATATTATAAGAATAAAGTAATAAACTTACAAGAATAACGTCGCAATGAAAATAATAGATGAGCGAGGGGAGAATCAGAAGGGAGATAAATAGACAGACTGGTGCGGCTGCTGCTATAATGAAGACCTGTACCGGTCTGTTATGGCAAAGAGAGAGTTGAATGAAAAGGAAAAGCTTTTGATTTACCGGTCAGTCTATGTTCCTACGATCTGGATATCTGGAACACCGAAAGAATGAGATCCCGGATACAAGTGGCTGAAATTAGCTTCTCCCAAGGTTGGCTGGGCTTTCCCTTAGAGATAGGGTGAGGGGGCTTGAAGAAGAGCTGCTTCTCCTCCACATTGAAAGGAGTCAGCTGAGGTAGCTAGGGCATGTTTTTCAGATGCCCCCTTGACACCCCCCTCAGGAAGTGTTTCAGGCATGTCCCACCGGGAGGAGGCCCAGTGGACAACCTTGGACATGCTGGAGGGTCTATGTCTCTCGGCTGGGGGCGCCTCTGGCTGGAGGAGGTGTCTGCTGACATGGAAGTCTGGGAGTCTCTGCTGAAACTGGGCATACACTGTACGATTTTTTTCAATCGTTGCACGCAGCTACAGCTCACACTGTACGTCGAATCCGCAGGGTTTCGTCGTACAGTGTGAGTTCACAGCTCACGATCTATGTGCAGCACGATGCTCTCATGCGATCTACCTGCTCACACTGCGCGTCTAAAAACCACGTCGGACTCAAATCCGCAGTGAGATGGAGCTACTCTTACTCGTCTATATGGATGCCAAACAAATAGAAGGAGAAAATAAAGCTCACTAGAGTGAACTGTGCTGCCTTGACAATTTGTGCAATTTTGTGCTGAAAGCCCCAAAAAGAAAAGGCGACGACGTATTTGGACGAAGACATGGCTACTAGGGTCTGTCAATTTTACAGAAAGAACTCCATTTCACTCATTGCACCCCCGCCATGCTTCTGTGTTTACATCTGAGAGGAAGAAGAAAAAGAGGAATCCTTGTTTGCGCATGCACCCTGAGTGATTTGACCTCACGATTCCTAATCGGGAGCTGGTCATCAGAGGCTGATTGTCCCTCGTTACCCCCTATACACTACACGACGTATGATCAGGCTGAAAGTTGGCCCGATCGGAAAATTCTCACATGACTGGAAAATCGCCCCCAAAGAGGAGCTAAATGGGTTGAATACATTCTTAAAATAAAATAAAAATGTGCAATTCCAGAGCAATAAAGTTATTAAAATCTCTACATAATTTAAGATTACATGTTAGGTTTAAACATGAAGTTTCACATAATTAGGGAAAAGTCTCCTTTTGAATTGAATAAGAAATGTTTTCCTTTTTTTAATTACTGTTTTCACTTGTATTATGTATGTTTTTGTTTTTCTTGTATTTATTTGTTTTGGGCTTTATGGATCACACTGCATATAAGCTTTTCACTTCCTCCTAATGATGCTCTGCTCTGTCTCTATCACGAAAAAAGGTCTATATTTAATTTATTGAAGACATTCACTTAAACAGTGACACACATTACCATGGCTCCGGAAATCCTCCTCGAAGTAGTCCCTGTTCAAGGCGAACTCTGGCTCTTCTGTGTAACTGTACAGCTCTGCAGAAAACATAGGAAAAACATTTTTGAATATTTCTGGCAGATCTATTAGCTTTTGTGCCTTTGCAAATGATCTGTTAAAAAGTCTGGACTTCAATCTGAATAATTAAAGGTTGGTAATGCTCGAAAAAACGAATGCGTCTGATAAAGAAGACATGTAAGCCAAACCCTCCACAGGGAGTGAGAGACTCATTAAAGAAAAAAAGTCTTTATTGCTTTTAAAGTTAGTTTCAGCATTTGACATATTTAATTATGATAAAATAATAACTTAAACGGAGGAAATATGTAAGGTAAGAAATATTTTTTCATGCACTGTGCATAAACTACAAATAGAGATTTTCACTTTAATCTGCCCTAGTAAAAAAAAATTATCAGTGAAAGCACCGTAGTTTAGTTCTACCAGGTTGGCAACAACAGCACCATTTTATGAGGAAGCTTGAAAAATGTCTGATGTAAAAAAAAAAATAGATGCTAAGGATGAAAAAGAATGCACTATTATTTATAGTACCGTATTTAATGCCTCATTTAATTATCATGTCAGGTATTTCTAAGGTGTTTAGTTAATTTTAAAGCAATAACTACTACTACAACCTTTCATTGCTTTAAGATAGCAAAACCCTTTTAACCTGGACTCCAAGCACAGAGCTAACATTCAAAGTAAATTAGTTTATTCTGATCAAATATAGAGGAAGGAAATAATCAGATGGATGGAAACAACTGCTCACGTGTTTAAATGTAGTGTTAATTAAAACCAATGAGGGCAGAGCAGAAAAGAAAACATCCCAATTACTTAATTATTATCACTTTTTACACTGAAATAAGCTGTTGTTTCTTTAAGATGACACATTTTGGTTGGTTGACCCCAGAGGCTTGAATTCCTCCATGTTTGCTTCTCTGCTTCATCCAGCCTCTCCTTTCCCACCTGTCTCAGCCACACACATATTCTGTTTGGTTTCCTCAGATATTTTTTCTCCTCTAAGCAAAGCATCATTCTAATTCTTTAGCTCCTCCTAATTGAAAATAATCTCACCTTTCAGGTAAAGCTTGTCAGATTCCTAAAAGAGGCTAATTAAAGCAGGCTCTGTATCAAAAGAGGACAATAAGTCCTGGCTAGACTGGTGTCTAAGAGTAGGAGTCTTGACAGCATTAAAACGAAAAAAGGTCTTAACCTCGGTCTCTCTCACTGTGGATCACCTCTTTTCTGTAGACATCCATCTATTTGTCACAATGTTGCCCATCTTCGTCTGCTCTCAGAGCTCTTTTCATTCTCTGACCGCGAGGATATGAGCCTGTGTGACTGACTGCAGGCACACCAAGGTGACTAAGAATCTCTTAACTGTCTGCCATGATCTATTCACAAGGATGATCATCATGAATCAAACATGTAGGCAACAAAATACAAACTGGTGCTGGTTAGAAACCTAAATTAGTCACTTAAAATGAACTCTCATGATCAAGATCAGTCAGAAGGATGTTGCAAACTGCAAATTTTTAGTCCTACCTGAGAGCTCAGCTGTGAGGGTGTCCGAGTCTCCATACTCAAACTCCAGGTTTGGAGACTCCATGGAGCTCTAAGGAAAACAAAGAGAAAATCATACATTAGCACATTATAAATCATTCTGTACCGCAAATTATCACTTAAAACTAAAATGTAATATGTAGAGGATACTGGTCCTCAAAGAAGTGTCTAGGAGTGACTCCCTACCCTTCTTCCCCCCTACTCCCCCATCTTCCCCTTCCTGTGTTTTGTCTAAGTTCAATAAAAATAAAACAAATTTAATTTACCCTTCTCAGTTACCTAATTAATGGTATACAGTTAACAATGATGCACATATCCAAGCCTGCCAGGTGGCAGTAATTAACCTAAAATTTAATTGTGAGATATAAAAAATGAATTAACAAAAGCTCCTAATAGTGGTGTTCTCCAGTATTCAAGAATAAAAAGATATATGTATACTCAAAAATGTAATCCCGGATTGGGCATAATACACCTGCATTAAATTCCTCATATATTCAGGTTTATATCTTAGCGGTGTCCTGATACAACTTTTTTATTTCCGAAAAAATACGGGTATTGCAGCTTTGCGAATTGGCCAATACCGATATTGACTCGATGTGATATTGGCACAAACCATGGAAGCTTTTACTACTTATTTTATACCCCAGAATGTTAGAAAAGGCTTGATACATTTATATCTTAGTAAAACAGGGAACAAAAGTCACCAGCAAAAGTATAAAAACAACTGACTGTTGTAAAATTAACCAATGGGTTACAGAAACCGTTAAACAGAAGCACAGTGTGTCTATCAGCATGAAAATATCGGACATTTTAGGTGCAGGCCGATATAGTCCGATCTTAGTTTTTTGGCTAATACCCGGCCGATCGGGACTCCCTAATCACTATCATCCAGTGTCCATACATCCATTTTCTTTCATGCTTATGTTTTGATGTGCTGGTGTCTATCTGCAGCTTGTCAATGGGCAAGAGGCGGAATACACCATGGACGTGTCGCCAGTCTATCACAGGACACCACAGAGACAAACAACCATTCACACACAAACTCACACCTAGAGAAGACAATTAACCTAACAGTTATGTTTTTGGACTGTCGGAGGAAGCCAGAGTACCCGGAGAGAACCCACGCATGCTCAGGGAGAACATGCAAACTCCATGCAAAAAGGACCAGGAATCGAACCCAGAACCTTTCTTGCTCTAAGGCAGCAGTGCTACCTACTGCGCCACTTTGCAGCGTGCACAGTGAATAAACAGAGGGCCTTATCGGATCAGAAGTTGTCCTGTCAAACAATATCTGGGTCAAGTGTTGAAGAACCAGGACACTGTGATGACAAATGGGCAACTTGAAAAAGGAACTATTGGAATTAGGGTACTTCTGGAATGTTACTGCTTCAGCAATCCTTGGCACTGGGTCTACTTGAAAAAACTGTGGGAAACACGGATGCTTTGATGCCCACTGTCTAAACTGACAGTGAAACATCTAGTAGTTCAGTGTTCCAAAATCCAGAAACGTCAGCTTCTTTCACAACTAGAGATCCAGGAAATACAACACATGAACACTTGGAAGAACCTCAGAAGATGAAGACCTCAACCAACCTTCGTTTAATAACCTGTCTGTGATATGGAACTTCTGTTGGGCATCAAAGCAGCTAAGATAAGTGGGAACATGGGTCAACACATGACAGAGGTGTGGAAAAGCATTGGTTAAATCACCAGAGGAGCCGAAAACCAACTGCTAATTAACCAAACAGTTTCTCAAGACTGCAAAGTAGAAAAACAAACCTATGCACAGCCTGGGTTAATTACAAGAAAGCCTATGACTGAGTACCATGTATATGGATTCCAGAATGCCTGAAAGGTGTTTTCTAAACCAAGACGCACAAAACTCCACAAGCCTTTATTTCAATCTCCATGAAGGTGTGGAAAACTAACCTTGAAGCCAATATCTAGCCAGTTGTGCAAATATTCGTCAAAGGTGGAATTTATCAAGCAGATCCTCTGTCCCTTTTGTGTTCTGCATAGGAGTGAACCCCCAAAAGCCAATTAATCCCTACAACTGGCTATGAATACCAACTCAGAAATGCGGCTCCTATCAGTTACCTCCAGCACACGTCTGTCATCAACTTCTATGGTAAAAATGGGTGAGATACTGACTCGCTGATCAACAATACCAGGGTCTGCAGCAGGGCAGGCCGGACAGTGACAAGAAGAGAGCAGTTAATCCATACAGAAGGGATTGCACTCTCAGGCAGGATAGGAAATGCCGAAGTAAAGTATAGGTACCTTGGAATACAACAGACAAATGGCCACAAGGAAAGCAGCAATAACAACATACTTGCAAGTAAATGAATCCCTAAAATTCAGCTCAATGGCAAGAACAAGGTCTGGGGAAACAACAGCCAAAATACAGCTATGCCTTGGCAGTAATCAGATACCTTGCTGGGGTAATAATTTGCCCAAATGAGGAAATTCAGACCACTGATGTTAAACCATGAAAGCTACCAACCGTGTATGTTGGATCTACCCCAACTCCAGTATTGACAGGCCATACATTAAGTGCAAAGAAGAAGGCAGAGGCCTTGTTAGCATCAGCGTTAAGATTAAAGATGACACAATAGAGAGCTCAATAATATGGGAGAACCCAAAGGATAAAGCTGTCAGTAATTGTCTCAGAGAATGAAAGCTGGAAAAAAAGAACTTGAGGAACCATCATAGGAGGAGAAGAGCGGCAGTGGCTTATATCATCAAATCTTACCAAAGGTTAGAGAGGGCTGGACTGAAGGACAGCACATAAGGACTGGTCACGGCAGCACAGGAGCAAGCTTTGAGCACCAGAGCAAGAGAGGCCAGATCTACCACCATATCAGGAAAGATCCTATGTACAGGACACGCAAAGAGGCCCCAGATGGACAGACCTAAGATTGCATGGGGCTTTCAGATACAAAAAGACAAAATGGTAGTGGCCAATCAACCGGACATTTCGGTCACTCATAAGTGGTGATATGTCAATTTACTGATAGGGTCCTTTTAAGATTACTCAATTAATTAAAAATTACAATCACTGGATTAATCAATTTCTGAAATATTGAGGAGCTGCACCCCTACCTGGGTGTGATGGGAAAACAAACAGATTTTTCCCTTTTTACAGGAAGAAACCTCCAGCTGAACCTCTTAGCTTGGTTCTGCTGGAGGTTTCTTCCTGTTAAAAGGGAGTTTTTCCTCTCCACTGTCGCTACAAGCATGCTTGGTGTGAGGGATTGCCTTTGAGTCAATGAGTCGATGCAATCCGCTGGTTTTTCTTAGATAGAAAGCTTTGAACCAATCGGACTGTATAATCTGGTTGAATTGTCTCTGTAAAGTTCCTTTAGATGACAATTATTGTGAATTGGCGCTATAGAAATAAACTGAATTTAATTGAAATATCCAACTTTAACCCAAAAAAGTTGCTAAGTTAACATTAACTTCAAAGGCAAACAAACTTACATAAAAAATGTGGCCATATTGAAGCATGCATTCTTGCTTTTTCAACCAGAAAAGCTATATAGAGGATATACAGACTTGATCAAAAATATCTTCTCCACTTCACTCCAAGAGTGACTCATTCATATAAAGTCAATGTTGTTATTAGTGTGATCCTTTTCTTTGTATCACATAAGATGATTTCCTTTGCTGCAGGGTCATTCTGCACACATCTCTGTGTAACTATAGTACACATAAACTATACACCAACACACTCTTCTTCTGACTCATTGGTTGCCTCATTTGAAGTTCGAGTATATATTATTAATGGCTGTTCTAGCTGCAGGCAGCGCTGATTAGGATACTTTGAATATTGTGCCTCAGATCCTCACCCTGCAGCTTACAGGTGCCCTCCAAGGTGGGGAAACAGCTCCTGAATTAATCAGCCTATAATTGAATGGTTAGAGGAGCCTCAGAGTGCTCTGGTGTTGCATTAAAGAGCAGCAGCACTGCAGCAGTGAGAGGAGAGAAGGGCGGACTGAAAGCGTAAGCGAGCAAATCTGGCTCCCTCCGTTTTATAGAGGATTAGCTGCAGTGGCCGGGCATGGGGTCCCTCTTGACCTCAGATCTAGCCTCACTGTTTGACCAGCATAAGAGACAAGAATATGCCCAGCAATCAAAACATATTGAACACAAACAAATGAGTCTAAATATAAGCAAAATGTTACCTTAAAGGAAGAAATGTTTGCAAGAAGTCTGTTTCCAATGAGCAGAAACAAGGAAACAACCTCTCCAATTTGCAGGAAAAACAGGTTGTGCGAGAAATATCAACACAAGAAAAAGGAAGACATCATTGAAAGGTAAACAGCTCGCAATCAGAATAATCTGGGCAAGTTCACTCTATTGGACCAATAATAAGCTACAAAGAAAAGTGAAACAACCTGGTGACTGCTGGATCAATAATGAAAGTCAAATTCTGTGTCAATGAGGATTTAAAGACAATCCTAATGTTACTTGAAGCTCCAAGATCTTATTCTCAGCCCTATTTAACCCAAGGAAAACAGTCCCTGATGGGGCCCAGCCCAGATCTGTAAATAAGGATGTGCTCTCTGACTCACCTCTACTGGTTAAATATCCATCTGCTGACGGCTTTTTAAACACTTCCCTATAAATACACACTGACAGCCAGCATCAACTGCATGGTGCAGGACGTTGGCTAACAACAGGCTAAATAACAACATTCGATAATACGACTAAACTAAAACACCTCAACAATTCCAACCAACAAGGTAATCCTCCCATTAGTAAACGCCTAGGTGAGGATTTAGTTCAATAGAAGAGTATGAGAGGAAAAATCCTATTAGGGATGAGTGCCTTCAAGTTTTAATCCCACCTGGTTTGGAGGAAATCTGCTTAAGGTCATGCCACAGCTTCTCAGTTAGTTAGAAGTCCAGACTTTGACTAGGCCATTTCAAAAACATTCCTTTTATTATGTGCTGAAGCTTAAGCGTACCAATTATACTTACTTTTTTGCACCTCCTCAGTTCTGCCTATTTTGAGCTTGCAGAGAATGTGTTTTAAGATTTGTCAGTTTTAAGCAAATAAGCTGTACTAAGCAGTTTATCCAAGAGATGCACGATGGTACAACCATACATCTTTGACCCTGAGTCAGAGATGGAAGCTGAAGCAGCATCTCCTGCACAACCAGCAAGGATGCATCTAACCTTTTCTGAATGGTAACCAAGTAGCCTATTCTTATAGGAATGTCCCTGTTATGTCATCTCAAATGCCTAAAAACATCTTTGAGTGATTGTTATGTTTTTATAAAGTGTTGGTTTGTGTGACATATTTTAAGGAGGTATTTTGCTTGTTTTAGGTCTGAAGAATCTATGAAAAAAATGAGAACCTAATAGCACAAGCATTCCAATTGGATTTTCAATATAAAGTAGCAACATGTACCACAGGTAAATTTGTTCGTGATTCTGACTAATAACAGCAATGTGCTCAATTTAAGATGTGATATAAAAGTAATGTTGAGTGTCTGGCCAAGAAAAAACAAAGGTTCCACCTAGATTTAACCAAGCAAATTAGGTTGGAGCCTCATATTGGATAATTGCTGCATGGGTGATTCCTTTTAAGCAGACAACAAGTTAATTAGACCCGACTGGTGCAATGAGCTGCTTTCTATTTTTTAACCATGTCAAGTGACACATCCTGTGGTCGTGGAAAGATGCCAGTCTGTTTCAGAAGACTGGCATTTAAGGAGGTTGTAAAAAGTTTTCAAATTGGGTTAAAATGTCCAGCCAATTATTAAAAACTGGAGGGATCATGAGGACCCATCGTCTTCAAGTAAAAAATGAGGCTGGATTGTTGACCACTTCAACATTTGAAATCACATAGAAGAAAAACAGCAGTAGAACTGCAGGCTGTGTTTATCGATGAAAGGAAGTTTCCGCATGTACAACATGAAGGGAACTCAAGGGATTGGGATCACCAAACGACTAATTTGTACGGCTTTAATTTGCTAGGGAGCATAAAGATTGGACTCTGGAGCAATGGGACAATTTGTTGGACTGATGAGTCCAGAATGATGCACATCAGGATAAAAGGAGGGGAAGGTGAAGTGATGCACCCATGCCTAGTTCCTACTGTACAAGTCTTAAGGGGCGATGCTATTGCTCAGTTTTAATTCTGCAGCTGCGTCCTCCGAAGGTCTGATTTGTTAGCCAATTACGTCATAGTGTGGCGCTGAGGCTTGTTAGGAGTAGAAGGTTTCTCGTTATGAAGTCGGCCAACGAGTGCAGACTTCTTTTTGCCCGTTTTGAAGGACGGCTCTGGTGCATCCTCCGTAGCCTTTGGTATCCCGTGATTCATTACGGGTCCAAGTAAGCCAGCTGCTCCGTGCTTAGAGCAAAGGGAAACAATGGATCTCTAGTCATGCTTTACCTTGAATTTTGTAAAGTGAATTAAAAAGAGATACCCAATAAATAGAAAAGTTGGGACATTATTTGATCAAATAGCTATATATTTTTAACAGCAATAAAATGTTTGCATCTCTTTCTCATTTCCGTAGTCTCCTGCCTTCTTCATTCTGTTTTTTTTTTTTATCTGCTAAACAGAAAAAGATTACCACTCAGACGAGAATAAACAAAAATAATTTGCACAAAAAAATCAACTCTAGATGACACACACACAGCAGCTAAACACAGCTTTAACCATAGATGCATTTACAGCCTGAGCCATGCAACCACAACACCATCAACCAACCCCCTCCTCAGCCCTCTCTCCAAGCATGAGCTGAATGACAGCTCCGACTGACAATCAGGATCTCTGATGTCCTGCATCCAGACTCGGCAAGCATAGCAACAAGCATGTGGACGATAATTTACAGCCATGCAGGGAAATGTGCATGTCTGCAAATTAATGTAAATAAATGAATGCACTAAATCATTTAGCGTGAAACATTTAGAGCATTTGGAATTTTTAGAATACAATAAATAAAACATGCTTCATTAGTAGAGCTGAGGAAGGTTTATTAAATAGTAAATACATAAATCTAATGATTGTGCATGTAGAATAAATAAGCTTTATATACAAATGAATATGCATCATTTAAGGTGTATTTAATAGCCATGTGTTAAATTTATTTCAAAAAAATAAATGGGAATTTGTTAGATAACAGAATTATACACATTACAATTTCAGTTAAGTATTTTTATAGGTGTAAGTTAATTTACACACAGATATATGTTTTGCTTTTTTTTTTTTGCGAAGTATTCAATATTTTATTAGTGAAAATGATGGGGGGAGTGGCGGCCTACTGGTTAGTACGGAAGAGGATTAGGGCCACTGAAAAAAATAAAAAAAGTGAACTGATTTTTAAATTTTATTCAGTTTAATATGGGAAAAAGTCAGAATTCTGAGATGAAAATCAGAATTCTGACTTCTTCCCCATATAAAACTGAAATAAAAGTTTAAAATCAGTTATCAATTGGCCCTAATCCTCTTCCGTAGGTTAGGGCAGTGCGCTTGGAATCCAGAGATTCTTAGTTCAAGCCCCACTCCCACAGACTGCCACTCTGGGTCCCAGAGCAAGACCCTTAACCCCACACTGCTCCCTGGGCACCGCACAATGGCAGCCCAATGCTCCCTAAGGGGATGGGTTATGCTAAGTTAATTTAGTTGCTCTGTAATTGTGACGATGTAATGACAATAAAATGCTGGAGAAAAAAAAAGAAAACCAGGGGTTTGTGACATTTCAAACAGTTCAAATGTGATTTATGACCCATTCCCTAAAAATAACACTTAATTCCTGCTTTCTAAGATGTCCTATTTTAAAAAAAAAATCTTGTTTCTTTCCACTCTAAATTTGACTTTTATAAAACAAATATAGAGTGGATATATATATATATATATATATATATATATATATATATATATATATATATATATATACATACATACATACATACATATATATATACATAAAGACTGGAAAAAACATTGCATGTAATTTGCCAAGAAGACAAGCCCAAAATGGAAAGCTCATATTTCAAGATGTTTCTTTCCACACAGAAACTGCTGCATCATAAATGCTCTCCAAGCTTTTAACAAACTCTTTTAAAGTCAAATGCAAATCAAACCTTTTAAGCTCTTTGCTGAAATCTCAGGAAAGTTGTGTGGGAAAGCCATTCAGCTCAATTCCTGTGCCTCTGATGATGTCATCAATCAAAAACACAAACAAAGCAGCATTTGCAACTTATTACCCCTCATTGTGCTTTTTATAAACTTTATATTTAATGAATTCCTGCTCCTCTGCTTTATACTTTATTAAATAGAAGAAAAAAACAGACTATAGATTCTTTATTTTAAAGAAATGCACTAAACAGATGCAAACATGAGAAAAGTGATGTTTGGAGAGCTTATGCTTTCAGGAATGTGTGTCTGCTGACAGCAGCAGCCACATTTCAGCACCTGCATGCTGCACCACTGTAGGATTACCGGGTTATTTTTAGGACTCAGCTGCCAAAATAACACATCCCCGACTGCCTGCATGCCTGCACGCTTTAGAGCCAAGAAGCTGCATTAAAAATAATAATAATAAAAAGGACATTGATCTGATCTGTAACCTGAAAGCTCCCCAGCAACAACACACAGTCTGACACACACCTACTACAGGCTGACAGCCCTGGCTGCCTCCTGCATTCACCTCCGACTCTCTCGGCCGATCCTGGAACATCTCATCCCCCTTCTCCCCCCTCTGTCTGCAGCAGTTCTCGTTAAGGTTATTAATGATCGGTACCTCCATGTCCTCCGGCTGCATGTTTCCTCGCTGCGGCGCCGATCAGTGCATAGCCCCGGTCCGGCGGAGAGAGGAGAGCGCACCGCGTCTGGAGGAGCAAGTTGAAGATCTAACCTCCTCCTCTCTGTTTCTTCTGCTGCAGATCCTGTTCCCCCCTAATAAATCTGTTTGATTCGCTGTCCCCGCTTGTCCCGAGAGGGCGGGGTTAGAGCCAGACGGCAGAGTGAGGGGCAGAGAGCTGACCCCCATTAATATGACAGGACCCACAAGGTAAAATGACCAGGGGCGGAGCTAGATGGGGGGTTAGGGGGGCCATAGCCACCCATATTATTTATTTCTCTCTAATACAGATGGTGGTAACAGTAATAATCTCAAGTGGAATATTCAAAACATTTTAATTTTTCATATATTAACAATTACTTGACAACAAAAATGCACATCAATATACTAACCTAAAAAATCAAGTACAAAATTCAAGTAGAAATAGATTTTGTGTTTTATGGGGTAAAGAGAAAAGTCATCTAGGTGTCTTCAGTAAAATCATAGATAAATAAGTATTTTCATAAAAACTTATTAAATAATCAATTTATGTAGATATTAGTGCTTGTAAATATCAATTTTATGCTGAAGGATTATTGATAAAAGTAGGTAAGTAATGACAATGGAAAAGATGTTCACCCAAAGCTCAAATCTGACAGAAATTTATCCACTATACCTTTTATCTAGAAAGCATGGATGTTTAAATATATTCCTCTATTTGTTAGCAAAGGCTGTGGGAAAGTATAATTTGTCTTTATTTAGAAAATATGGATGTTTTGCTTGTTTTGGTGCCTATCTACTTTCGGCCACCTACATTGGTTGTTGCCAGGCCACCCTCATAAAATGTTCTGGCTACGCCTCTGAAAATTACTAACTGCGGCTTTTGTTCCAGAGTCCTGCAAAAGACCTCGGTAATTTACTTTATGTGGATTTTATACCTGAGGATCTCCAGGATCTGTACTGTACGCCTCCAGGACTCTTAGGCGTGCAGTGAAGATTGTGGCTGATCCCTCGCACCCTGCCGCTCCATCAGGACCAAAACCTCACACCCAGAGGCATAGCAAGACATTTTTTACAAGGGTGGCCTGGCAATAACCAATGTACACTGAGGGGTGGCCGAAAGCGGATAGGCGCCATAACCTCAGAGTCAATATACACTGTTCCAACAGGAAAATTAATGAGCACAACATCCATATTTTCTAAATAAAGACTAACTATACTTTCCTATAGTCTTTGCTAACAAATAGACGAATATATTTAAACATCCGTAATTTCTAGATAAAAGGTATAGGGGATAAAACTCTTTCAGTTTTGAGTTCTGGGATGTAAATCAATCATCGTCATTACCTAATAAACATTCTGCATAAAATTTATATTTACAAGCACTAATATCCACATAATTTGATAAAGTTTTTATTAAAATTATTTATCTTTGATTTTTCACTGAAGACTCCTAGGTGACTTGCAGAGACATAATTTTCTCTTTACCCCATTAAAAACACCAAATCTAGTTGTCAAGGGAGCAGGAATTCTGTACTTATCTTTGATGTTAGTATTTTGATGTGTATAATTAACCACAAAAAAATAAAATGTTTTGAGTATTCCACTTGAGAGTATTACTGTTGTCACCATCTTGAGAAAGAAAAAAAAGGTGGATTGGCTAAGGGTGGCCATTGCCATCCCTGGCCCCACATCTAGATCCGCCCCCTGCTAACGCCCAGTACTGCTAACCCAGTTGAGAGGGAATGGCATCCCTCTTCTTAAAGACATTTTAAAATAAAGATCAATAAAGATAAAGATCTTAAAAGAACAATGTATTTAAATATTTTATTTTTTTACACTACGACTTGGTGGGGTGTGGTTCGATAAAAACATTTGTTTTTATTTCAAATTAAAACTTTAAATGCCTTGTTTTGAATATTATATCTATTGTTAACAAGATGCTGCTTGTTGAAAAGGTTTAAAAAAAAACAGCATTTGGAAGATGCATTTTCTTAAAATTTAAAGAAACATTGCGTTTTCAAAAAATTTGATTTTGCTTTTAAATGTGAACATATATAGCTGTCTAAGTCAGGGGTGACCAGCTTTTAAGACTGAGGGCTGCTTCATCGGTACGGAGTCAGGATGGGCTACCAGTACCATTAACTGGAAGGGTCAGCATGCTCCTTAACTTCATAGATAAAAAATATTTCTATCGTTTCTTTCATTTCTAATTTGCTTTTAGATACTGTCATTTTGAAATCCCTATAAATGCTTTAAACTTCTAAATTATTGATATGATAAAATGCTCTGTAAACGATAAAAAATAAGAGCAGCATCAAAAATTTCAAACTAGTGAGTTGTTTTCAGAAGATGCTGAGGGCACCCCATATGTTCCTTTTTCTGTTTTTCATCTACGTTTTGTTAAGCTTTTCCTTTCGACCTTAAAAAATGTATTTTATTTTTCTATAACTGACATATCTATGTTTTTCTAAAAGGTTGGATTTTTGGAAAAACAGCATCAAACTTGCTCTCATTTACGCATTTATATAGAGATTAAATCAAGACAGTCGGTGGCTTTTGATTTTATTTCGGAGCATAAATGGGGATAAATTATAATGCATTCCATTTTAATGGTAAGTATAATTCCATTAAGGTCGCCTAAAGGCTGTAGTTAAGTGAAAAACGGGGGAAACACTTTGAAAGAAACCATCTACCATAAAATAAATTCATTTTTTGACATCTTTGCAGAATAAATTTCCTTAATTTCTGTCATCCTAATTAAATGGCAGTTTTATACCAAGGATTCAGACTGGAGTCGTGTCTCAGCTCTGGAGAGCCCAGAGACGGCGCCGTCTGACCACTGCTGGCTCCGATGAGCTCACCATGCCACAGACCACCAGGAAAAAACACACCACACAGCAAAGGTGTTCAACTTTTTACATTTTTATTCATTAATATTACAGATTATTGCTCATCTTCTAACATGATCACTTCAGATTTTTGTTTTGTTTTTGTTTTTTTAAGAACTTAAAAGCATGACTGAGAATTTAGCCAGTTAGGACTTTGTGAGGATTTACATCAATAAATACAGGAGACTTCTTTAAACCTTCCTAAACACCTACAGGTTTTCAGGTCTGTATATAGTTTGTTTATACATAAACAATGCTGGTGTGTTCCCTCATCCAGTTTACCACTGATTAAACAGTTCTCCTCTCTAACCCGCGGGTTAGGATTCTGAGGCAGCTGTTAAAAAGTAACTACGGCCTGCAAGGTAAAAAGTAACAACACATATGGACGCACACATACACACAAGTGTCATTCATAAGCACCCATTCACAGAATAAACAAAGGAAAAAAAAATAGGCCTTAAGACAATGGGTCACACAATCCAGTGTGGAGATTCCACAGCACAAGGAGACAAGGACGCACAGACACCGAGTGCCACAGAATGGGGGTGGGTTGTTTATAAGGTTGCATCATAGACTTTTCTGTTTGGTTAATATACATTTATTCTTTTGTCTCACTATTCAACATTTAGTTTTCGATGAAAGGTGGGGAAAAAAAACTGTTGAAAAGCTACCATTCACAAGAAACAACCCTCCTTAAGTTGGGAAAAAAAATAAGCTGATGTGCATGACAGAGCGAGATGTTTCCATATGATGAGCTGCTGTATATTGAGACACCCTCATGGTGTTGGCACCCCGGTAAAGACTTCTGCAAAACCTTAAAGACGTGCAGACGTGAAAGCAAATCTGTGTTTTCATCTAAAGGTAAACTAAGCATATAACACTCGTCAGTGCTGAAGTGTTACTGAAGGAAGGAGGATGAAAATTTGGTATTTTGATCAGTGTAGTGAAATAAGCTACTTCGAATGAGGCTCTATGTCTTAAGACGCGTTGAGACGAGTCTGTGATTCTTTTAGCCTGTGAGAGCAAGACTTAAAGCAGATAACAGGAAGGCTAAACCGAGTGTGGCAACTTTGCTGTTTTATCCGTTTAAGTTGGCAATCTAGACCCTAGATTGTTTTACTTTTTGGGACATTTTAGAGTTAAGTTAGCCACTGACAGTGTTTATCACGATGATATTTGACTAACTTAGAATGCTAAAGGTGAACGCCAATCTCATCTGTGTTTAGAGACGTAAAAGGGTAATAATGCATGTTTCAGTAGAGTTGCATGACTCCACCTCTGCTTTTAATACAAACATAATAAACATTTTCTAAATAATGTAATTGTGGAGATGCCTCAAAGTCTGGCTGATACTTAAGAACCATTTAGCCTGATTGATCTTTGTTGGACCGATCAGAAACTCAACATTCCAATAATTTTACTGATCCCTAAAAGCATCATACTATTATTACAATTTAACACTGAACACACTCGTTAGTGCTCAAGTTGCACCAAGGGAACACTATTTTTTTAAGAGTTTCTTTAAAATAAAGTTTAGAGGACGTCAAAAAGAAAGTAAAAGAAGGTATTTAGAAAAATGGCTGCTGTTCTTTATGGCTACAGGAGAGGGTAAGAATTACAGTGGATAACAGGAAGGTTGAATCTGTTAAAGCTTTAAGTCTGTGTACATTTTTTTTAGTTTTAGTGATGCTGGCCATGCTAATCCTGAGGCCAGTTTAAAATGTCACCCTGTAATATCTTGTTTTCTACAATGACAACCGTAAAGCCATGTTTTACAATGATAACCCCACTATTAATGCTAATAAAAACAACTCTTAAGTGGAAATCTTGGAAATTGTTCTTCCATCTCTTAAGCTAGAAAAAACAGGATGGCTGTTTACCCATCCTTTCAATTTTAAGACCTACATAAAGGGGCAGCCATTTCTTATATTTATACACCAAGAAAACATGAAGCAGTTTGTTTAAGGATTAAGATACTAATAAAAAAGAATGCTTAAGTTCATGTTTTAACAGGACTATTATAGAGATAAAAGAAATTCATTCTATTGGTTGCAGCTTTACCAGAGGTGCCAAAATTCAGGAGAATGTGATTTTATTTTAAAGCATTGTGACATTAGTTTGGGTTTCCCGCTGGTGGAGCAGTGAGGATGTAAATAAGTAGAATAGCTGTAGGGTGCAGATAGGATGTTAAGCACCTGCAGGTTATTACTCTACATCAGAAAAAAACAACAACAGAAAAGCCCTTCAACAGCAGCAGGAAAATCATTGCAAAGTCCGATCTACAAACATGGAGATAAATGTGCTTCTTTGATTCGCCTCGACACAATCATGAGT